GGAGAGTCAAGTTTGTATAAACGGAGGGTTTGGGTCCTCTGGGGGCATAGGGACGGGGTTCAATAGGGGAAATAGAGGATTTGTTTTCTCCTACTATACAAGTGAAGGGATTTAAACCAAATGCAGTCTGAAGCATGCTTAGGGACAAAATTATCAATTTTGTTTAAACTGAAGTGTGTCGACCCCCTTCCATGGGGCATATGAGTGGGGCCCTTTAGGAGAAAAAAAGAGGAAAACATTAAAGATCCTTCTCCTTCTGTACCGATGAAGGGATTTTGACCAAATTTGGTCTGGAGCATCATTGGCCAAAGGGTTCTCAGTTTTGTATAAACGGAGGGTATGATCCCCCTGGGGGCAGAGCCAAATATGGGGGGAAGGTAAATCTTTAAAAATCTTCCTTTCAACCAATAGAAGGATTTTGACCAAATTTGTTCTAGAGCTTTGGACAAAGGAGAGTCAAGTTTGTATAAACGGAGGGTTTGGGTCCTCTGGGGGCATAGGGACGGGGTTCAATAGGGGAAATAGAGGATTTGTTTTCTCCTACTATACAAGTGAAGGGATTTAAACCAAATGCAGTCTGAAGCATGCTTAGGGACAAAATTATCAATTTTGTTTAAACTGAAGTGTGTCGACCCCCTTCCATGGGGCATATGAGTGGGGCCCTTTAGGAGAAAAAAAGAGGAAAACATTAAAGATCCTTCTCCTTCTGTACCGATGAAGGGATTTTGACCAAATTTGGTCTGGAGCATCATTGGCCAAAGGGTTCTCAGTTTTGTATAAACGGAGGGTATGATCCCCCTGGGGGCAGAGCCAAATATGGGGGGAAGGTAAATCTTTAAAAATCTTCCTTTCAACCAATAGAAGGATTTTGACCAAATTTGTTCTAGAGCTTTGGACAAAGGAGAGTCAAGTTTGTATAAACGGAGGGTTTGGGTCCTCTGGGGGCATAGGGACGGGGTTCAATAGGGGAAATAGAGGATTTGTTTTCTCCTACTATACAAGTGAAGGGATTTAAACCAAATGCAGTCTGAAGCATGCTTAGGGACAAAATTATCAATTTTGTTTAAACTGAAGTGTGTCGACCCCCTTCCATGGGGCATATGAGTGGGGCCCTTTAGGAGAAAAAAAGAGGAAAACATTAAAGATCCTTCTCCTTCTGTACCGATGAAGGGATTTTGACCAAATTTGGTCTGGAGCATCATTGGCCAAAGGGTTCTCAGTTTTGTATAAACGGAGGGTATGATCCCCCTGGGGGCAGAGCCAAATATGGGGGGAAGGTAAATCTTTAAAAATCTTCCTTTCAACCAATAGAAGGATTTTGACCAAATTTGTTCTAGAGCTTTGGACAAAGGAGAGTCAAGTTTGTATAAACGGAGGGTTTGGGTCCTCTGGGGGCATAGGGACGGGGTTCAATAGGGGAAATAGAGGATTTGTTTTCTCCTACTATACAAGTGAAGGGATTTAAACCAAATGCAGTCTGAAGCATGCTTAGGGACAAAATTATCAATTTTGTTTAAACTGAAGTGTGTCGACCCCCTTCCATGGGGCATATGAGTGGGGCCCTTTAGGAGAAAAAAAGAGGAAAACATTAAAGATCCTTCTCCTTCTGTACCGATGAAGGGATTTTGACCAAATTTGGTCTGGAGCATCATTGGCCAAAGGGTTCTCAGTTTTGTATAAACGGAGGGTATGATCCCCCTGGGGGCAGAGCCAAATATGGGGGGAAGGTAAATCTTTAAAAATCTTCCTTTCAACCAATAGAAGGATTTTGACCAAATTTGTTCTAGAGCTTTGGACAAAGGAGAGTCAAGTTTGTATAAACGGAGGGTTTGGGTCCTCTGGGGGCATAGGGACGGGGTTCAATAGGGGAAATAGAGGATTTGTTTTCTCCTACTATACAAGTGAAGGGATTTAAACCAAATGCNTCTTTTCCATATTTTAGCTGATCAGGCTATATTATTTCTAAACAACAAATATTTACCAAGTTTACTGTATAGCTAGGTATTTAAGTGGGAATAGTTTTTGCAATATTTACTCAAAATTAGGAAATCAAATACACAGATGAAAATTTTGTGATTTGGAGATATGGCATATCGGACTTTCAAGTTTAAGTTTAAGTTTTATTTATTCACTCCGACACACTTACGTGTGTAACAAGAGGTCACATACATATAGTAAGTATGATACATGGCGTGTGATGTACACAATTACAACATTGTACATAGCATAGATACATATAGAAGTACACAAATAGTACAGAAATTAAGTTAATATTTTTTCAAGCTTTTCTATGAATTTACAAAGTTTTGTGTAAATTTTTACATTAAATATATTAAACAATCCTTGCATTTTTATTTGACTTGGATAAGTGAAATAATATTTTAGTATATATTTCTCTCTTAGACATTTAACTAAAACACTTTCACAGATACTGCTACTGATGTTGACTTTCAATCATATATCCTGACGTTCTGTAAAAACAACAAACAAATAACGCTATCAAACAGTTCTTCGTTTATTAACATACATGCATCTTTCACCTATGCACAACTATAAACTGATCTCAGATCTGTGTGTTTAAGTACATGACCAATAAAAATACAATCTATTTCAATCATTATAGCCGCATTACCAGATTGTTGGAGAGAGCCATCATTCATACTCGGTATTGCCGATATCACTGTATTATTTGGTTTGGTTTGTTTGTGTTTTACCTCCTATTAGCAGCTATGGTTATTTAAGGACGTGCCAGGTTTTGGTGGTGGAGGAGACAGCCAGAGTTCCCAGGTGAAAACCACCGACCTATGGCCAGTACCTGTAGTAATAAGCAGGGTCCACTGTTTACAATAAAGAGGTGGCTGCATTGCAGTGTATATCACAGATAATATTTTCAAATAAATAACTATGTGGATCAAATTTTTGTGATAAAGTATATATGCCTCTTGAATTTTGTGAAAAATTCCCATCTCAAATTAACCTGCTACATGTATATAGTGTTACATTCAAAGAATTTATAAGTTGAGAAGAGTTGTGTTTGGACAAAGATAAAGTTTCCATCAAAGTTCCTCAACCTTCACAACTGAATCGGATATGCAGTACCTTAGTTTCAACAACTTTTTTTTAAAATCAGATGAAATTGGTCATATGCTCCACTAAAGCGTGCACAACTACCTCTAGTTTGTAGTACACACATCTATATCATTTAGATTGGAGAATTTTATTTTACAAAGTAAAACCTTTCACATTAGTCTTTTTCATGTTTAATACAATATGTAAAGAATGTTTAATAAAATCTACCATTCTTTTATATGACTTATCAGGAAATGTACCTGTCAACAAAGAGTAAGCAAGGCAATTTACATGTCTATAAAGACTGATCAAAGGAAATATACCTGTTTATATATACTGATCAATGAAGATCAGCATCCAGTCTATAAAGACTGATCAGTGGAGATCATCCAGTCTTTAAAGACTGATCAATGGAGATCATCCAGTCTATAAAGACTGATCAATGGAGATCATCCAGTCTATAAAGGCTGATCAAAGGAGATCATCCAGTCTATACAGACTGATGAAAGGAGATCATCCAGTCTATAAAGACTGATCAAAGGAGATCATCCAGTCTATAAAGACTGATCAGTGGAGATCATCCAGTCTATAAAGACTGATCAATGAAGATCATCCAGTCTATAAAGATTGATCAATGAAGATCATCCAGTCTATAAAGACTGATCAGTGGAGATCATCCAGTCTATAGAGACTGATCAATGAAGATCATCCAGTCTATAAAGACTGATCAATGGAGATCATCCAGTCTATAAAGACTGATCAGTGAAGATCATCCAGTCTATAAAGACTGATCAGTGAAGATCATCAAGTCTATTAAGACTGATCAGTGGCGATCATCCAGTCCATAAAGACTGATCAAAGGAGATCATCCAGTCTATAAAGACTGATCAATGAAGATCATCCAGTCTATAAAGACTGATCAATGAAGATCATCCAGTCTATACAGACTGATGAATGGAGATCATCCAGTCTATAAAGACTGATCAATGAAGATCATCCAGTCCTTAAAGACTGATCAAAGGAGATCATCCAGTCTATAAAGACTGATCAATGAAGATCATCCATTCTATACAGACTGATGAATGGAGATCATCCAGTCTATAAAGACTGATCAATGAAGATCTTCCAGTCTATACAGACTGATCAATGGAGATCATCCAGTCTATAAAGACTGATCAACGAAGATCTTCCAGTCTATAAAGACTGATCAATGGAGATCATCCAGTCTATAAAGACTGATCAACGAAGATCTTCCAGTCTATAAAGACTGATCAATGGAGATCATCCAGTCTATAAAGACTGATCAAAGAAGATCATATCCAAAGTGACAAAAAACAATAAAACCACCTTATTCAATATCTAGCATACAGATTTAAGACTAAAAAGTATTTGAAACTACCACCTCTGATTCTACACAAGGAAAATGAAGATATTTTAGCAAACTGACTCCTTTGGGCCCCACCCTACAGCCCTTGGGTATCAAAAGTATCAAACTGTCAACTCAGGGTTATAATTCCAATCAATGCAAGTTATTAACATGTAACATGGGGGGGTGTCAGTCAGGGATCATATGTGCATACCATCAAACTGCTACCCAATCCTGATAATGCTAGCCTAAATTGAATTACTTCCAATGAAAATTAAACAAATGTTGGTCCAAAATGTGATTCCCCTTTATAAACTATAGTAAAGTTTACCCCCTCCCCAGGGGGAAACGTGAGACCCCAGGGTCATAAAATTCACAATTTTGGTAGAGCACCTTAAGACCCTTCCATCTATGAAGAGTGTTTGATTCTACCATATCTGGGTCTTGAGAAGAAGATTTTTGAAATTTCAGTCATTTCTACCCTTTTTTGCCCCTTTCCTCAGGCCCCTGGGGGCTGGGTACCAAATCAGCCACAATTTTTGTTGACCTTTGGCCATGGAAGGTTTCTGCAAAATTTCATTGAAATTGGTTCAGGGGTTTTGGAGAAGAAGGCAAATGTAAATTGTTTACGGACGGATGCCGGACGCCGGATACCGGACAAAAATCGCAATAGGTCACTTGAGACTTTGTCTCAGACGACCTAATAAAACCTACATGCATAGTTTACAAAATAAAGTGCACATTAAAATCATGTTATACACACTGATGAACAACAAATATTTAAGTAGGCTAGGGGAACATATGTTCAGCTGCAACTTGCCGATAGCCCAATATTTAGGTCACTCAAAGGTAACATATATATTATGGATATGCCATAAAGCATCATCCATGGGCATTTTCTCATCAATTTTTTTCTTGCAAATGAGTTGATCTGTACATATGTGACACATAAATCAATTCATCTGAATACATGTACAGTACATACCTGTGACTGTTCACAGTTTCAAAACACAAAAATAAATATCGCCACCTATATTATGATTACCGCTAGGTAAATATGCTTTTGAAGTATTGCACCTGATCAGTGTCCTACAACGTCACCTGATCAGTGTCCTCCAACGTCACCTGATCTGATCAGTGTCCTCCAACGTCACCTGATCAGTGTCCTCCAACGTCACCTGATCAGNCAGCTGCAACTTGCCGATAGCCCAATATTTAGGTCACTCAAAGGTAACATATATATTATGGATATGCCATAAAGCATCATCCATGGGCATTTTCTCATCAATTTTTTTTTTGCAAATGAGTTGATCTGTACATATGTGACACATAAATCAATTCATCTGAATACATGTACAGTACATACCTGTGACTGTTCACAGTTTCAAAACACAAAAATAAATATCGCCACCTATATTATGATTACCGCTAGGTAAATATGCTTTTGAAGTATTGCACCTGATCAGTGTCCTACAATGTCACCTGATCAGTGTCCTCCAACGTCACCTGATCTGATCAGTGTCCTCCTACGTCACCAAATCTGATCAGTGTCCTCCAACGTCATCTGATCAGTGTCCTCCAACGTCACCTGATCAGTGTCCTCCAACGTCACCTGATCAGTGTCCTCCAACGTCACCTGATCAGTGTCCTCCAACGTCACCTGATCGGATCAGTGTCCTCCTACGTCACCAAATCTGATCAGTGTCCTCCAACGTCATCTGATCAGTGTCCTCCAACGTCACCTGATCAGTGTCCTCCAACGTCACCTGATCAGTGTCCTCCAACGTCACCTGATCAGTGTCCTCCAACGTCACCTGATCAGTGTCCTCCAACGTCACCTGATCGGATCAGTGTCCTCCTACGTCACCAAATCTGATCAGTGTCCTCCAACGTAATCTGATCAGTGTCCTCCAACGTCATCTGATCAGTGTCCTCCAACGTCACCTGATCAGTGTCCTCCAACGTCACCTGATCAGTGTCCTCAAACGTCACCTGATCTGATCAGTGTCCTCCTACGTCACCAAATCTGATCAGTGTCCTCCAACGTCACCTGATCAGTGTCCTCCAACGTCACCTGATCAGTGTCCTCCTACGTCACCTGATCTGATTAGTGTCCTCCAACGTCACCTGATCAGTGTCCTCAAACGTCACCTGATCAGTGTCCTCAAACGTCAATGTCATGCATGATGCAGTGGAAATCATAATGTGAAAGAAAACATATTTGGACGAACAATGAAGCTCAGTATCATGATTAGCATTCTGTACATTTGCAATTAAAAATTTGTTTTATGATCATTCAAGATTAACAAGAGATAGCAGTGCTAAGCTGAAGACTAGTTAATTTCTTGTTTTCAATATTAAATATGGATAAAATCTCTTAATCCCTATGGTAGAAGAAGGATTTTAAAGGTTTTACATCTTATTTCCCCTATTTGGCCCTGCTTTTCTGCCCCCACAGGGGCCACACCCACTGTTTATACAAAATTGAGTGCCCTTAGCCAAAGGATGCTCCAGACCAAATTTTGTGTGTTAAAATCCACTAAGTCGTTAAGGACTAGGCCAAAACAAATTGATCACGGTACTTGGTTCTCAGGCCCGCGCGCATTTCATTTTTGGGTACCGCATTGTCGATTTTATCGTGAAAGTAATAATAAAACAAGAGGCCAAATGGGCCTGCATCGCTCACCTGGTATTAATCTCACACTTGTAATCTTAAAAATGGACTTAAATACAGCTACAGGCAGAATATCAGTGTGACCTTGAATGTCAAACAATGACATTAGGTTGAAAGTGGGTCAAGGTCATTCATTTGAACAAATTTGGTAGCCCTGATTGCTACAGGCCAAATATCAGTACCCTGGGCCTTTTGGTTATTGAGAAGAAGTTGTTTGAAGATTTTAAGACATTTGACACCTGTGACCTTGAAAGTTGGTCAAGGTCATTCATTTGAAAAAAACTGGTAGCTCTTCAACCCAGCATGTTACTGGACAAATCTCATCACCCTAGGCCTCTCGATTATTCAGAAGAAAGTTGTTTAAAGGTTTTAAACATATTTGACCCCTGTGACCTTGAATATAAATCGAGGTCATGTATTTGAACAAACTTGGTAGACCTTTATCCCAGCATGTTACTGGCCAAATTTAGGCACCCTAGGCCTCTTGGTTATTCAGAAGTTGTTTAAAGGTTTTAAACATATTTGACCCCTGTGACCTAGAATATAAGTCAAGGTCATGTATTTGAACAAACTTGGTAGCCCTTCATCCCAGCATGCTTCTGGCCACATTTCATCACCCTAGGCCTCTGGGTTATTCAGAAGAAGTTGTTGATAGGTTTTAAACATATTTGACCTCTGTGACCTTGAATATAAGTCAAGGTCATTTATTTGACGACCGACGGACGACGGACGCTGCACCATGCCATAAGCTCACTTGGCCCTTCGGGCCAGGTGAGCTAAAAATTGTGAATGCACCAGCCACCGTCTTTAAAAAAATCCGGAAAATTGGTCTGCATGTTGTTTTTACTCGTTAGTCACCCAAGTCCTTCGGGCAGGTGAGCTAAAAATGGAATGAAGCAAGTTTATAAAATAGTATCACAAGTTAGGAACAACATCTGTCCCCTATCAGCTGTCCTCATCGCTACTCCAGGCATCAGCTGTGGCTGATATACTGCGAGCCACAACACCAGCTATCCGCGACACCTGCTCTTTATCTGCCTCATGCTTTTCCTTGAGATAGTCTTCATAAGCCGAGTCGGTATCTGGTGTCCACACCAAAATATTCCTGTCACTACCACCCGAGTACAACTCCTGATAGTGTGGATGAGTTATACAACAGTTAACACGCATGTAGTGACCACGTAAAAAGTCAATCTGGCTGCCTTTGAATAAGTCGAGCATTTCTATATTGGTACCATTAGGTACAAAGAGTATGTCAGGACTACAGCCTTGTGTGATCCCAATGTCTATGTTCTTCTTCCACTCATTATTCACCTTTCCATAGTTGACCATGGTGTTCTTCCCAGAGGCCACATTCCAGAGTCGTATACGGTCGTCTGTTCCAAAGGTCACCAAATGAAGGCCGTCTGATGTGAAGGTCATACCATTGACATGACCACTGTGTGCAGTGTTAGCTGAAACAATCAATTTCTCAATTCATTATTAACAAATGTCCAGATGACTAGCAAATTATTGTAATCCTTAACATCATTGACAGCTAAAAATTTCTTGCTGCATACTGTATAGCACTTTAAATTCACAGGGTCAATATTTCGCAGTTTCAAATTAAATACATATTCGTGGAGGTTAAATTTGGCTGTGCACCCGAATCCCATTATTGTGTCGTGCAAAGTATTTTGAGTGTCATCAATTAAGGGTTAAACCTCGAAAAGCAGGTTAACCGTACACTGATCCTGAGCGTCGTCATCCGCCAGTGACTTCACTCGAAATAAAATAAAATGTGCATGTACCTTTGTAGGAATAAACTGGTATCAATTAATCACCTAATGTGTACACATAACTATGTTGTGACCACTTATATGTAAGTGTTGTTTCGACATGGACCGCCCAGTTGTCCGGTGATAATCTGATTTGAGTTCATTTAAGCTTGCATAACAAGTGTTGGGTTATAAATATTTTCAACATGTTGTGATAAGATCCATCAAAGTGGTTAACATTTTCAATAATTTCACTGGTTTTTAGAATTTGTGGATATTAGTCAAAGCGCGAATATAGCGAAATTAAAACCCTTGCGAAATATAACCTCTATACAGTGTTTTAATACCTTTAATTTCTGTTGGAACTTAATAACTCCCTCTAAAATGCTAAAAATTCACGACAACCAAACATAATCTGACATGAGTCAAAGAAACATTTTAGAATAGATATCCTTTTAAAGAAATCAACAGTAACATATGAAATTCAATGATGCCATTTTTCTTTACATAAAACAATATTCTAATAATGATAGTTATGTTTGTTACTAACAGGACTCATATTTTAATAACTTGTTTAGACCTATATATTGCTGTAGAGAGAAGCTACTACACTTGGCAGATGACATCAGTTTATTGGTATGAGTATGTATATGATGGTGAGGTCGTACCTGTGAAATGGTTGTTGGCATTTTTGCCATTGTATTGGTCCAGTGATTTAAGAGCTCCTTTGGCACTCCGTATATCCCATAACAACACCTGGTTGTCCTCGCTGAAACACATTTATATCACATGATGTACTCAGTGAATATACATGTCATTTTTTTTGCGTATTAACCCATGTAATATAACCTATCACTATCAGCCCTGTGATTGGTTGTAATTTTCCATTGTATTGCCACGTCTAGAACAAGTACATAACGTCAAAGACGTATGCACTGGAGTCAAAATGGCAGCTTTTAACATTTCAAGGTTGCATGAAAAATGTCGTTTTACATGAATAAATGCCACATATCTTGATTATGTGATAAAAGGATCTTAAACTCGTTTTCAATTCATATGAGATTTATGAAACTCATCACAAAATTTTCATTTTAGCTCGACAGAGGCTTGCTAATTTTATTTTTTTTAGACTCGTTTCATAAATCTCATATAAAATGGAAACTCATGCAAGATCCTATATATATTTAAAAGTCAAAGCAACAAATAAACTCGACCAACAGATGCAAGTACAATGCTTTAAACTATATTTACATAACACTTCGGGATGTTTCCCATTCTGTTTTGAGTATAGATAGTGCTCTCAGTTTACAACCTTGGTATTGTAATGCAGCACCAATAGTGCTTTGATATACTTCCCAATTTTTCTCCCTTATTTTTCGACTTTGGAAATTTGCAGAATTATTTACAGCTCCCTTCTTGCTTGATTTCAATTAATTCATTATTTATTACAACATAACTATATATGCAGTTTTATACTTTTATACCATTAAGGGGTCATTATAAATACTTCTTTTAAAAGTTATCATATTCTCTCTATATGTGATACTCAGCCAGTGTTTTTGTTACCTAAATTTTACAACAGCCTGTTCCTTTATGAGTTGGGGAAAAATAGCATTGTTTGCATTGAAATTGGGAAAATACTCCTCAGTTTTTGGTCATTTTGGGAAAATTAGGCTTTTCTTAGCTAGGGGAACCAGCCTGTATTTGGCAGTAAAACTGTGTAGAAAAATTCACTGTCCGTTTCGACGAGAATGGCTTTCAATGTAAGAGAATTTATCAAAAACTAATTGAAAATTAGGCAAGTACATGTTGGTGTATGGCTTAAAGTTAATATCCTTAGTTACCCTCCTGATGCAAGTACAAATTCATCCCTTGTTGACCACTTTGTAGAGAGGACTGCAGTTTTATGACCCTTCAGAGTGTGTGTGGCAGACCCAGACTTGAGATCGACCAACTTCAGGGTGGAACTCTGGCATGCCACTGAGATCAGACAGTGCTTCGTGGCTACTGAGGACATTGCATGGCAGTAGACAATGCCACTGAACTCAAACTCATCTGCTGGCTTCAACACAACACACAAGAAAAAGCTTTAATTATACAAACCATGTGGTAAAATAAAATTAAATAATCAGTAAACTTGAAATTCAGTAAACAAAACAATTTAAGCAACTGGTGATCTGGTTTTTATAACAAGAAACCCATATTTATTTAATTTGAAAAAAGATGAAGTACAGCCAGAATTAAATTTAGTTAAATTTGAAGCGCAAAGAGCAAAGATCAAGGGGAAATAACTCATGCAATGCTGTTTAACCAGTCTCAGTATACGTATCATCTACAGTAAAAAGTTGAAACTTTTGCTGTGAATTTACCTTCACATCTAAAATGGAACAACAAAACGGTACAGGCAGTTAAGATATGAACAATTTAACTCTAGTTTAAATATACTAGCTTCCCACTATAACTCTGCACAAATGTTTTGTCTCCATATCTTGATGTTGCAGACAAAAAAGACATACCACTAGAGTATTAGTGTCCCAAACTTTGAGGAGTTTGTCTGTTCCACTAGAGATGAACATTCCAGTATCCAAGGGGTACCAGATGACAGTTTCCACTGTGTGCTTGTGGCGATGACGACTGCCCCTCCCAGCAAAGCACACTGATTTGGAAGTGTATTTAACTTCACCAGTGAAATTTTCAAGATCGTGAACAGCAACAGACCCATCAGAACTTCCAGATAACAAACTGAAAGAACATATCTTATAATTTAATAAGTATAAACTTCAAAATGCATTATGGACATCAGTATGTACTAATGCAAAGTCTGGAGGGGAGATCCTTTTATAGGCCAATTATAAACCATATTTCAAACAATGCTAATGTAAATGGAATATGTACAGAGAATATGACATAGGAATTTAAAAGTCTACCAATATATGTGCATTATTGTATTACCAGGAACAGATGTATTCAGATAGCCATTTCTTTTCATAACAGATTGCCTATATAACGTGGAACAGTTTTGTGATATACCACCGACTTAGATAGCATCTTATCTAATTCTGTGACTACATATACCTTCAAACAAGGGACTTCTACGTATACGAATTAAGAATCAACTATCAACTCACTGAACATTTTGCACCATATGTCCATGCTTGTGTACTGGAGCATATATATATATATGCATACATATCTGTTTGTATGTTTTTAGTTAGTTTTAGGAATATGCTTCCTATACTTTTTATAGGGCACTGCCACTTGAATATCATAGCATAGGTAGGGAGTGTAATTTTTATATTATTTAGCAAGGGCAGACCCTGAAATTTTGAAAATTGATAAGGGGGGGGGGGGGGTTCCAACATATTTTTTGAGGTTATGTCTCTATAACATCCTAGCCCATGTTTCCTCTGGCCCTAACACCAGACTCAAACATTTTGATATTAGAGGTGTCACGATTCACCACGATGCACTTGTACTGCGATTATTTATGTTCGATTTGATTCACGATATATTTTTTCCGGATTTTCGATACGTCATGATCTGAATATTTATATAAGTGTATGCCGCTTCAGCCGAAACGTCCGTGGGACGTTAAATTTCATTGGCTGATCTTTAAACCCTCAGCCAATCGGCTGCGACGATGCAATTTTCACAAAGCCTTCATAACAAAATGGCAGACTGCGGTAAGGAAATGAAAATTTTTGATGCTCCGGCAAGCTTCAAATCAAAAGTGTGGAAACACTTCGGGTTTCCGTATATTGATTGGTTATATATATCATTTTGTTGATATTTTAAAATAAAGTTGTATCGATTCGAAATAATCGAAATCGTGGTACAAATATTGAGATACATATTGAATCGTAGGTAAAGTGTATCGTGACAGCTCTATTTGATATATAGATGTCTGGTGTGGGGCCAGAGCGCACTCACTCAGCTATATGAAAACATAAAGATGCGGTGCGGAAATCTTCTAAACAAGAATAATATATTCCGTTTTCGGTCCGGATCAGTACGGTTTGCCGATTAGTCACCCCATGACCTATACATTTTGAGGATTCTACTGATGGAATTTAGCAGCTGTTGGTGATAATAAGAGCTGATTTGGATCAATAATAATCCATTAACGATATATGTGAGGCATGTGTTGTGACATAGTAGATTTGTGTTGTAAGCACCTCATAACGGAGAACTCCACATTTTCATATAGCAGTGCGCTCTAGTAGCTGGCCCCACACCAGACACTTGTATGTCAAAATGTCTAAGTCTGGTGTTAGGGCCAGAGGAAACTCAGGCTATATAACATCCTTGTGCCAAAAATTACAAATATAAATTTCCAGTTGAAATGATGATATTACAATTTTCCGAAAAATGGGTGAATAAATTTAAAAGGGAGAGGGGGGTGGGTGGGGGGCAGGGGTCTGGATCTCTTGGATCCGTCCTTCATTACAGTTGAGGATAAATTGATCCACAGCATGTCTGCTTTGGACCAGTGACTACTGTCGCTGACGAACGTTATTTTAATACCACAGAATTAGAAATGTCATCTCGGATTTAATTATTCTGTATAAAAATGTGGAGACAATTCAGTGAGTGACTCTTTCTGTTTGTACCACCGACAGGATATGTCAAAGCTCTATATCCTTACTATCTTGCTTCCACGGGGTCGATGTCCAAAGAGTTTATGCCCCCAAGATGTACAACCTCAAAATCACGCCGTTTGCTCAAATCGAGAGCGTACGACCGTCGAGTTGATTCGGCTCTCCTCATGACCAACGGATCGTTCGAACCAGACTGCCTGTTGGCCAGAAACTTCAACATGGTTTAAAGTTTCTACTTTTTAACGATTTAACGTACAACTTCGATCCTCCATGATGATGACGCCGTTTGACTGTAAAAGCATGTTTTGCTGACAAAACAAAAAAACACCTCACGCTGTCATAACACTGGAAATCTTTTGTTTAGCGAGGGTGTAAAAAGTACTTGTCGTTGTTTCGTAAAATAAAAGTCGAAATATGAAATATTTTCGCCAAATGTACTGAGTTTCGTTGACATTCAAACGTGTTAAAAATCTTTATGAAAATGTTTATAGAGTAAGAAAGATATAGATTAAATAATTCGAAAACATTCTAAGGAGATGCTCTGAGTCAATCGGGAACCGTCGGTATTTTCCGTAAACGAAAAAAATAATGCGGCAAACGGCAGCATTCGGCAAACCTCGGCCGATTCCGGTACCTCTCATCTAATCTGTAGGTACGGAATCTGCCGAGATGTGACGAGTGCAAACGGCAGCTCAACCGCAACTTCTCGGCCTATTCCGGCCAGGCATGATTCCTTGACTAGCCGGAATAGGCCGAGAAGTTGCGATTGACGGCAGCTGTGCACGGTAAAGCAGTTATTTTAAAACCGGAACTGAAGTATGTGAAAGTGAAAGTAGAAGTTCAGTGTCAACAAATATTTACATAATTTAAAAAATAAAAATGGGAGGTATATAGGTGTAAGTGGTGGAGAAAGGGTTATTACTATGTATTTCACAACGGAAGGAAAATAATTCATGCATGTATAACTTACTGTTTAGTCATTATTTTTTTTAGATCTTTATTGTCTTCCCTGATTTGATTTGATTTTCAGTAATTTTATTAAATTGAATTAATACACCTGCAAACGATCAGATACCTTTGATAGCGGGCTCCTGAATTCAAACACTTAAAACAATGCTTGTAAAAGTACTTATTCCGTCTTTGCGTATTGCAGATTTATCTTCTCTTGTGAGCAGGTATTGATTGTTACGTCATTGGTTTGTGTGGGAAAATTACGTCGTTTTCTCAAAAAGTGATGACGTTACTCTCACAAACAAATGACGTAACAAACAATACCTGCTCATAAGAGAAGATAACTCTGCAATACGCAAAGACGGAATAACTCTTTTTAACAATAAATATATGTGGATTAAATGTTTATATTATCGCAGACAGTTTACACCAATTTTCAAAACAACAAATTTACTTTAGGTTATGGGCATTTATTTATTGTTTCAGATTGATAATACACTAGAACTTACTTTCACAGATCATGAAAATCGCATGTTCATATGTACTAACTTTGTTTCAGACCCATCTTGAGTGTCAATAATTACACCTGTATGTTTAATCGCTTCAGACTGGTTATAAATTTGTGTTAACTTTCACAGACATGTAACAGAAAATAACATATTGTTTAAAACTGCATGATTGACTTTTGACTTTGAACATATTTTATTAACCAGAATTGGAAAATAGGATTTGGCACAAGTTATTACAACTTATGAAGCCATCTCCTTACAAGTGTAAGAAGTTAGGTTGTTTAATTACTTCTGTGGGAAAACTTCATAATTAAACGGGATTCAACAGTTTAAAGAAAGTAATTTTTAATAAATTAGACAGGTAAAATAGTGTTTAGGTATGCTGCCTAACACTGGTATACCTGTACAACAGTTAAGCTATGCCCTGCTGTGAACATGGGTGAGGTTCTCCAGGAACTGTTACCAGTTCCACAGAGTTCAATGTCCCAAAAATGTTCATAAGAAGAGTGCTGTTTCGATGGTCCATCCAGGGACAGAGAGCCGACGGGATAGGGAGCTCCTTACGCTCCAGACCGAGGAACCTTACCAGGTGGAAGATGGATCCATGCCACCAGCTAGACAGACTGCTGTTGATGTTTACAGACTCGCGGGATTAAGCTTTATGCATGTGTTTTCAACTTGCCAATGTGTTAAGCGTTATGCTTTCATTTTCAAGAACTTTGCCAACTTACAGTGACATTTAAGTGAACAAACTTTATTCATTCTCTAGTTTTACAGGAAGTTATGCTGATTTTACATGTTATTTGATGTATTCTCTTTCAGGAATTGTATTACCAGTTATATGTATGTCCTCCTATTTTTGTATTTTTGAGATAATTATTTTGTTTGTAGTTGATCAGGTTAGATGTATTTTATAAGGGTTGGTTTTTGTCTTTTCTACCTATAAGGAGTTCAGTAATTGCCTGCTCCTTATATGTGTTCTAATGTTAGTAAGAGACTTGTTTATTGCAAGTTTTGAAGTTGTCTATACATGTTTATTCCTAGAGTCTCCCCAGGGTGATAGGGTAGCGATGATTAGACAAAGGTATTTTTTGTGTAAAATAATACTTTGATCTTAAGGGGGGGGGGGGGGGGGGGGGATGTGGGAAAACAGGTTTCTAGCCTTGTTTGTTTTACTGCTTTCCATGTGTATCCCTTTATTGCCATCCTAGTGTAACCAAAGATTCGGTACGGCTATTCTATCGGCGTATGTAGCGATATCACTGGTGCAGTCTATTTGTTTACATAGGTGTTTACTTTTGAGACGACCAGATGTTGGGGACTTACCGGAAGAGGTTCTGGGCTCACTGCGCATACGCCATAGATTATATGTCCGGCGGAGGGGACCCGTGGAGGAGGGTCCAACCTGCACGTAAAAAAAAACTCTGTGTATTGTCGAAAGAGTAGGCGCGTTAACGCCGACACAGAGNTAGGAGGGTCCAACTTGCACGTAAAAAAAACCTCTGTGTATTGTCGAAAGAGTAGGCGCGTTAACGCCGACACAGAGGATAGGGATAGATTAGATTACATCTATTTTCGACGATTCGACGGACTTCCAAAATATAGGAACAAAACAAAACACAAAATAGAGTAGGATATAAGTAAAGGACAGCCTGGATACGGTACGCCCTCCTCCTAGACCAACGCCATGATATGATACGATCGGTGATCTCCCCATCTTTTTATATAATAAAAGTTCCAATAAGACATATATTATAAGCCCAACAACTTATAGACCCCCCATAAGACCATCTACTAGCAACCATTTTTTCCCCTTTTTTTAAATAGACATACACCAAAGAATTAAGGGTAAATATCCGCATACACCATAGGGACCCCTCGGATAATCTCAGACTCCGGCCAAGCCTGACAAGAAAACAAGGTACTGTACCTAACGGAAGCAGAGACGTTTCTCTACTGTCGGGCACAACCGGCAGTAGGAGAACCGAGGTACATAACAAATATAATATATATACCTCCCTATAAGAACAGGAATATATGCAATAAATACACTTTCAAAAATATACAAATAATTTTATTTTTTAAAAACATATATACATTAATAATATGAAAAGGCAAAGCCTTAAACGAGCGAAGCTTTTGTTGATCTCTGATATTTACTGATTTAGAATGAGATAATACAGCTTTTGGAATGAGGCAAGATAAAATTTATTTAAATTCGGCTAGTCGAGTGATAACAATAAAACATAAACTCTAATGAGATTAAGACCGACACAACAATAGGGGAGATCGGGGCAAATTCGGCCCATTTTTATTAAAGTCCGTTCTGGGAAGTATGGCAGCACGTCCGTTTTTGAACATTATTTAGTTTTTACCTGTCGGCATTCGTGTAAGTTCGGCCCCCTTTGGAATCAGCTTAATTATGACGTTATAAAGCATGCAACGTCAGATTTTACCGCATACTTTTCGACTTTTTATGTGTTACATGGGCCGAACTTGCCACGGTATCATTGGCTGAAACTCTCCGGGCCCAAATTGATTTTTCAATAAATTCTTATCGTACAGCAATATGGTAGTGAGTGTTTGGCTTTGCTTTTATTTCCACGTATATCATTTGAAGCTGTCAGTGTCTTACACGTTTGACCGTAATTTCTTTAGCAAAAGTTCGCATCATTAGAAGCGAGATCATGATTTTCTTTCTCAAAAGTAATTTGTTTAATAATTTTACATTAGAGTTTTCCTTGCCATTTTTTCATGTGAATGCCTAGCCAACTAAACTGCTGTGATCTTAAAGGTTGTAAATATAAGCTCAAAAACAAAAATATCACTTTCATTTACATCAAAGTATAACAATGTTTTCCTTTTTTCAATTTTATTTTTGCAACTTACATCTCTATACATTTACTTAGACTAATCGTCAAATATGTAATATGCACTTTTTCTATAGTAATTGCCAAACAGTTTTCCCCCAGCTTATCTCAATCATTCTTTTTGAGCCCTGACGGAAGCACGCAGAGGGTTTAATTCTTAATATGGGAGGAAGCTTGAGTATCCGGAGAAAATCCGCGTGGTCGGGCAGGTGACCGGGTTTGAATCCGGCCATCTTGGTGAAGGCGAGCGCGCTATCCACTGCGCCACCGACCCATCATATACACAAGAACAAATATCTACTTTAGCTTTAACTAAAAGAAAATGGCGTCATTGATGCAAAAACTATATGGTGAATACATTTTTACTAAACATCAATGATATAAAAAAAATCTACATACGGTAAACCGAGGCAAGTTCGGCCATCCCTGATATTTTGATCTCGCTTCTAGTTATGCGAACTTTTTGAAACGGAATTGCTACTTTTTTACAGTCAACCGTGTAAGACACTGACAGCTTCAAATGATAATACATAAAAGCCAATCACTCACTACCATATTGCTGTACGATAAGAATTTATTGAAATATCAATTTGGGCCCGGACAGTTTCGGCCAATGATACCGTGGCAAGTTCGGCCCATGTAACACATACAAAAATGTAGAGTTGGCGGTAAAATCTGACGTTGCATGCTTTATGACGTCATAATTAAGCTGATTCCAATGGGGGCCGAACTTACGGCCATCCGATCTTCCAACAGGATAGTTAAATAATGTTCAAAAACGGACGTGCTGCTATACTTACTAGAACGGACTTAAATACAAAAAGGGCCGAACTTGCCCCTGTCTCCCTATTGTTATGTCGGTCTTAATCTCATTAGAGCTCGTGTTTTATTGTTATTCCTCGACTAGCCGACTTTTAAAAGAGTTTATCTTATCTCATTCTGAAAGTTGTATTCTTAATCAGTAAATATCAGAGATCAACAAAAGCTACGCTCTTTTAAGGCTTTGCCTTTTCATATTAACATATAGTAAATGATTTAGTTGTGTGGGTCCTTTAATGGTAACACATGCGTGCGTAAA